GTGCGTTTCCCAAAAGCAACTATGGTCGCAAGTTCCGTCGTTACCGATAGATTTCAATGGAACTAGCTAACGATGCTTTTGGGAAACGCACCCCAGGACTGTTGAATAGCCTATAAAGTGATAGCTTCAGACGCTGCATAAAACGAGGGAATTGACTAAAACTTAATTTCCCCCATCATAGAAAGTCACAATCCACGATGCGCCCTCAAAAAAAAAGAAAAGTTTTACGCGCGCAGCGTCAATCGCTGTTTGTGAATCATACAGTGCAATTAAGAAACTAGCGCCTTACCAGATGAAGGTCTGTCCGAGTACCTGGTGCAGTAAACCCACGCAGGCCATAGTATAGGCTGCGATTCTTTTCCTTGCGAAGTTCCCCCGTTAGAGTTCACCACCTTTATCGACGTCGTATTCTCCCCGTACCTTGCTGTGGTAGTTCCATTTCCCTCGACAAGCTTCGCAGAGGTCTGCTTTGAGGATGGCGAAGAAGACGAGGATGAAGAAGTGCTGTCACTACTGCAGTTTGAATCCTGGCAAAGGCTGCTATTATGCGACGGCCTTATCACCATAGGGTTAACATTCTCCCTACCCGAGGTTTGCGCCCGGTCCCTACTCCCAAGATCTTTCTTGCAGCCAAAATCTGGCCGTAGAATATTGTCGATGAAAAAGTTCGTGGGTCTGTGGGCTTGCTGCGCAGCCTGGTGAGGTAAAATCGGAGGGGATGGTATATTGGGTGAGAGCGAGACGCTCTCAGATTCAGTCGAATCACGACTGTTTTGATCATTTTGCTCCTCCATGACAGCTGGATCGCACACCAAAATTCCACTTGTTGCAATGAGCTGTATCCGGATAACAACAAACAAGAATACAGTCTATAGTTAAAATAAAGGTATACGAAATACCTTAAGAGAAGCGACTGTCATAGCATCGGAATGCTTTCCGCGATCAAGGCGTTTCAATTGTCAAAACACACCCGTTATTCATGTCAGACAATACATCGCGCGATGCTCCGCTGTCCCGGACTCGCTGCCCCGTGTGACAGCTCGCGCTTAACAAACTCTTTCTAAAATCACAGTGCCCCTCACATACTTTTTTCCTTAACCGGAAGCACGTGAGCGAGACACACGTGCAATGGACCAATGGGGTACCAACATCCTTGGTGTCACAAGCAGAGAATGTCCAATAGAATTTAACAATCTTATGCAAATAAAGAATGGATGGATTTCCAAGACCAAATAAGCTGGCGAACATTAAATCCACTCTAATGAGGACTGGATGTTTCTGGATCTGCATTGGCTTTTGACAGAAAAAGATCTGATACTGCAGCCAGATAATTCATTATTTCAGAGGCTCGTTGTATTGTTTTGCCAAAACTAGACACTAATAACATTGCGAATAGCTCTTTTCTGAGATCGTTAGTAGGCGATAGGCGTTGGAGGTAGCCTAGTGAAAGAAAACAGGAGTGAGCCTTCATCATAACTATGACATTTGAGCAAGATTTTTATTCTGTGGGACAAGGTTAGCAAGCAATGCAAGCAATTAAGGTTAAGAAACTGAATCTATACCACAAACAGATCAATTTAAAATAATAATAATAATAGATAATAATGTTTGCAATCATTTTAGTAAATGAAGCAATGTTATTCAATATGTCCAAAATATTGTATAATATCATGTAAGGTATATAATTTACCTAATAATTGCAATAACAAAATAACAGACTAGTCCGTATTTTAGTTAGCCTGTTCTCAGCATTCGAAACGTTTAAACCGCAGAGTACACTGTCAAAAGTGATATTTCTACCTGACATAACCCTTAATTAAGCACACCTTTGCTGGAGTAACTTATAGTCAGGTTAATTCAGTTATGGCCTATATTAAATAAAAAAAGTATTCGAATAAAAGCGTATTCATTTAGATGGTACCAAATGAATCACATTCAGGTTACATTTGTGCAGTGTGTAAAACTACGGACGGTTTGCAGCATTAACAATCCGTTTGCATGAAATTACACTTTTATCCTTCAAAACTGATTCCCACATGGATGGCCACGTCAGCACAAAAATCAAATGTGGCAGCAAACGTATAAATCAGAACTTGTTAATAAGAAGTCAATTGCTTAAAAATGTAAGCAAAGATTCAAACTCCGTCCAGTTATGCAAAATGATAGATCTAGATGCTCTACGCCAAAAATGAAGAAACGCACACAAAACATTTAGAATAACAATTAGTTCAAACATGGAATTTTAGTGCATGCAGCATTTATTCATTTAAAACAGGTTGGGTTGAAATCTTTATTCGAAAAGCTCGAGTGGGTACTTAATAAATTTCTAATTAGGACACTATCAATATGTTGAGCCAAGTAGCCATTGTGAGGCACGCTCCTTTTCAGGCGGTAAATTAGCACTCCAGCTCTTATCTCGGCTGCATGCGACGTCTTGAGAGGGGCTGCAAAAGATAATTTATAGGTTTTAATTAGCGCCCATTCCGCCTGATCAGCTTGGCGTTCATCACCAGCGAGTGAATAAAAGCCGGTCAAAAGCACTGTCACTACCCACTGGCAGGGCGCTTTATCAAGGTAAGCAGGGCCGTATTACACGAGGTGTAGAGGCGACGTAATTTCCCCAGTGCTGATAAAGCCCGTTGAATAATGCCTGAGTCATCTGAGACACCATTTACTGAAATGACTTTATTGACGACTTAACGTCCGTAATTCATTTTACCCTTCACGTATGGGACCTGGGTTTGGTACAGTAATTGGATGATGAATGTGGCAACGGGCCGCACCTCGTATTATTGAATGTGATACACACGCCCTTCTCTAAATGTCTCGAAAATCATGTAAAAATCGAAGTTGTAACTATTTTAATTTCATTATGGACAGGTTGAATTATTGTCCGGTCTTGAATAGCTCTGTTGCAATGATAGCTCACGGGATATTTAATTAGGCCTACTCTATATAAAATAGGCGCTCACAACCTGACAACACAATGGGATGGTCGTGGATAAACAATCATATTCCGTATATAAAAACTGGGAACACGCGTGACCTCAATGATTATCAAAACGCACCTGAAAGCGCAAAAATGTCTGCGCAGCCATTTACATTCCTGTTCAGGCTTACAAATCGTCAGTGAATTTGAACCCATTTTCATCGCAGGTGCGTTTTATGGATTGCTTTAGTTGTGCTTTTCAGAATTGTTTTAGCCAATTAGCAAACAGCATAATTGCCTTCATTAAAGTAAGAAAAATCCACCGCTGCCTACAAGAAATAGCCTACGCCTTGTCGTGCAAAATAAATCAATGCGAAACGCTGCCAGTCGCATTTACAATTTCAATTAACACAGCTAAGGTGGATGTTTTAATGAGACATGGAGACATACGAAATAGACAAATATGAGGTTTTCTTTTCTTTTCTTTTCTTTT